GAGAGAGAGAGAGAGAGAGAGAGAGAGAGAGAGAGTCGGTGAGAGCTCTGCCTTAAATAATTGGTTTGACTTTTGTTTAGTCTCCCTTTTTTAGACTATATTTATAATGTGTATAAGAAATTGTGAAAAATTCATGAATGAATGAATATTTAATATAACAGTAATAGTAATAATAATTCAAATCCTAAACACAAAACTACTGACACTTTTCCGGAAACAATGCAACGATATATTCATTTGCGGAAACTCTTCGACAAATCAAACCGTTTTGTGTTTCAAAATACTTATTATTTCGTAAACGTATCTCACATTCACTAAACGATTTGTGTGTTTCGTTTGACACAAAATTATATATTCAATTGTCTACTCTCTCAATACATGTCGTGAAATGTGTTGCCAAACATTTCACACATACAAAAACTCAGGAAAACTGCCGCTATTTATATAATAACTGTCCGAAAAAGTAAAGTTTTAAATTTTTTAAGTTTTAAACTTTTCCACATTCACTGCCAATTATTTTTTAGATTCACCGACAGATTGTCTATTGAATAGACTTTATTGAATCCATCGATATAACTCTTATATGCCTTAACTTATATGCCTTTCATTGACTGTTAGATAACATTGATGTATTATTATTGTGATATATAAAAAGGTCACTTACTCTGCGACCACGCCATAGGAATTGGTGACAGTCCTGTTGACGGTCTCGAAATGACAGGTCAATTGTACCATTCGGTCGCCCTTTCTCTGTATAAGCGGGTGATGTTGTATCACAACCATCGATGAATACTTGCCATTCTGTTCATACATTAAATATACATAATTCATATCATTATATGATTGTCGCCAAACAATTCAATTCACATTTTTTGTATATCAATTTAGGGCTTGATATGAATGAGAGTTTGAAAATTGAAAAACTTATTGTGTGTTTTTGTACAGCCATTGACCAAATAGTTATAAAGTTAATAAAACTAGTTTAATGTTTGAGAATATTTCTCTTACACGTCGTTTATTTTGTGTGTAATTATGAAAATTAAATGAAGAGTCAAAGAAAGGGAGAATTGGCTTAAGTATATGTATTGCGAACAATATATTCAATACATGTGTGTTTATCCCGTATAGTCTAATGGTTTTTTATTTTATAGTCTAATGCTATGGAGAAAGTTATTTAGACAATTGAAAAATATCATTAACATATGATTTGAATAGACGTATACTTTTGAATGCAAATTCTCTGCTATTTATTATACCATTTCTTATAATAATTAAAATTCAATTCATATCTCTTTGTATCTAAACGTGTGGTTCGCAGGGGAAACAAAACTACTGTATGTCTACTGTTTTGTTTTGTATTCACTTTTTTTTGTATAACAGTTTTGTTAAGATCTGTGATGAATGCCAAGAATTTTGATGGTCTCTCGGCTCTAGTTATAGGCATTCGTGTCAATCATTAGAGTATTAAATATTAGCGGAGGCTTTGCATTTGGGTTTGGGTTTTGCGGAACGTTTTTTCATTAAATAGCAATTTGTGTTTAATCTATGGATTTATATTAATATCTCTATGAAATTGATATATAGATATAGAGGGGGAAGAAAATGTTGCGTTCAATTGTTATGTGTGTTTGAGAGAGAGAGAATAATGACTTGAATAATAAGTGAAGCAAATTATCATTTGACTTGTCGTTAAGGGAAAGGGACTTTTGACTAGTATTGAATATGAATGCATAAAATGTGATTGTTGTTAATTTTAATATAAGACTCGCTTTTATGGCATTAATATTAGTTAACATTCTTTATGACATAATATCTATGGTTTAAAATAATGTTTAACATAGCGTTCATATGCTATCAAACAGACATTCATCCCAATTCTGGAAACAATACTAAATTTAATTTTATTGTTAAAATAGTTGCGCTAACTATTTGGTAATTGTATGAATTGAAAGCATCCAGATGGGTTTATTATTATAGTTGTTGGTTGGTAAATTGGAGTAAAATTATAGTGGTTGAAATTCTGTACAGTATATTGCTTTATGATGTAACCCTTTTCACAAAGCGTAATCATCATATTTATTATTCACATAATATGCTAATTTGTGGTATGTTTTGACAAATGCCGGCTTAAAATCACCACATATTACACATGTATCACATTTATCTGGTTATATACTGTATTTAGTGTGTTTGACCAAGTTCATTTCAATTATCGTTATCAAAACACTTTTTTGAAAAGCGACATTAATTAAACACTCCTTCGTGTAGAGCTATAATAAAATAATGTTTTTAAATGCGATCCGAATTATAATTGAAATAGTAATTGGTTGAAAGAGATTGGAAATTAGATTGGTTAAATAAATGGAAATTGCACATTGGTAAAATTTAATGACACTTTTATTGTGATAATTTGTATTTTAAGGCAATTTATATTTTTTGTTTGTTTTTAAATTCAATTACATTAAAATCTAATGTTTATCAAATGTACGGAAGTTTTTTAGATTTACTAAAATTTAATGACACTTTTATTGTGATAATTTGTATTTTAAGGCAATTTATATTTTTTGTTTGTTTTTAAATTCAATTACATTAAAATCTAATGTTTATCAAATGTACGGAAGTTTTTTAGATTTACATAAGAAGTCAATTAATCCAATGAAATAAGTATTTTGTAAAATCACTATTTTTTGAAAAATACATCACATTTTATATTTCATTTGAATTTGCTTTTTATCATTTTTATTATAAAGAAAATAGCATTTCCCGGGAATTGCGTTACAATTCATGATTTCCTATAATTATAGTACAGTATATTAGATAAAGTGTTGGCCGAGGGGTTGAAAATTACATTTTTAAAATAAATAATTAATAAATACATTAATCGTTGCTAAACAAGAAATGACATAAGAAAACAATTAAAGCCCAAAGTTGTGTCAATTAGTAGACCATAAGTGTAGACATAGAGAGACAAACATAATTACGGACACGACTGGACAGTGAGAATGATGGACACGGGATGAGGGGTTGGCTGAGCTCTTGGCGGCCGCGTATACCCCGCCCTCTACTATGATCTCGCGCTGTAACGGATAGTCCGGCAGAAGTGTCGAGTCCTCGACCACCGGCAGCGACGACTCGTCGCCCGTATAATAGGCTGACAAGTCGTCCGATTGGCTTATGTCTCGCCTCCGTCGGCGTCCGAACGATTTGCCACTTGGATTGTCGTTATCAACGCCGGGACCTGAGCTGACCCCGCAATCGGTGGGCTCGCAGTCCTGCAGACAGAACTGAACGTTCACTTGAAACCTAACGACCACATCGTCGGCGAACTTGAATGCGTCAAACTTTCCCATAAGTGTCTTACTGTTGGCCACTCGGTGTAGGGCCGGGAAGATCTTGGTGTCGGCCGGACACCCGTTGGAGTCGATTAGTGTGATCTGTTCGTCGGTTTTGCCCGATTTGGCCACTAAGTCGCGGGCGAATATACCGAACACGGCGTCGTCGTCCATCTCTATCCGCATGTATAGCTCGTCGCCGAGTCGGGCGCCCGTAATGTCGAGCCCCTGAGCGTCGGTTATTCGGAGCCGTATGTTAGGCGACGGCGCCGTCGCGTTCACGATAGCCGTCTCCGCGATCGATGAGCTGTTTGTTTGGATTTTTGGGAAATAAAATGTTAGTTTTTTATCGTAGAGAGTTTATTGACTCCCACTCTTCGGGTAATTGTGTTTTTGTTTTCCTGTGATAAATATTTATTTTCATATAAAAATCTATAGTCTTTTCCGTGAAATCAATCCCCAATTATATATTGGATTATTTTTTCTCTTTGGGATTCAATTTGTTTTATTATCTATTGTCTGAAATGTTGTTTTTCTATAATGTATACTATTTTTTCGTCGAAAAATATTTGTAAGATTATTGAAATAAGTGATGAAAGCATTTGCTTTTAGTATACATTAGTTTTTACGACAACGACTGCATGTTTTCCGAAATCACTTAAAAACCGTTAAATAACTCGCTTTTGAATGCCTTTTCAAAGGTATAACTAATAATAATATACAATATATTATATGATTGTCTGCATTATTGAGGCAAATATTTCTGTTGCCGACACAGACTTTCATCGGCCGCCGATTCTTATGGCTATTGACTCTATGCGTGACGAATGGTGTTTCTCCCGAAAGTGGTGTTTCTCCCGGCGTCTAATTGTGTGCCCAAATATTGCTTGAATTTATCGCTAATTCAATCAATCGATCACTCATTTGTCGTCAATTATTTGTCGCTTTGATTAATTAAATCAAAGCTTTATTTTTGATAAACCAATTTACTGTGCATTCAATTCTGTGTTTGCTTTTTAAGACATTTTGCTTTAATTGTCGTCGAGAGAGAGAGAGAGAGAGAGAGAGAGAGAGAGAGAGTTCAATGTTATGCAACGCTAATGTCTCAACGATTTTATGGTTAATTATTTTCAACTTCAATACTTTGTTGAAAGAAATGACTTTTTTATATTTATTATATTATTTGATAAAATAATGTGTTTTATTGTCGATATATTGATACGTTTGTTGCAATTTATGTGTTTCCTTATTCAGGGCTTAATTACTGTTATAGTCTTATGTAACACATTATATACCGTAATAGACATTTAATATGCATATAATTGTCGCCATTTATCACAATTTAATATTAATTTTAAAGTCATTTCTCACTCCAAAGAAGTCATTTAAAAATCTTCTTTCTTTTTATTTCGTTTATTATATGTTTTTAAAACTATAGCGAAGTTATAGTTATTCGTTAAGAAACAAATTCAAATCTCTTCATAGCATTAGACTATAAAATAAAAAACCATTAGACTATACGGGATAAACACACATGTATTGAATATATTGTTCGCAATTGCTATTTATTATACCATTTCTTATAATAATTAAAATTCAATTCATATCTCTTTGTATCTAAACGTGTGGTTCGCAGGGGAAACAAAACTACTGTATGTCTACTGTTTTGTTTTGTATTCACTTTTTTGTATAACAGTTTTGTTAAGATCTGTGATGAATGCCAAGAATTTTGATGGTCTCTCGGCTCTAGTTATAGGCATTCGTGTCAATCATTAAATATTAGCGGAGGCTTTGCATTTGGGTTTGGGTTTTGCGGAACGTTTTTTCATTAAATAGCAATTTATGTTTAATCTATGGATTTATATTAATATCTCTATAAAATTGATGTATAGATATAGAGGGGAAGAAAATGTTGCGTTCAATTGTTGTATGTGTTTGAGAGAGAGAGAGAGTCGGAGAGAGCTCTGCCTTAAATAATTGGTTTGACTTTTGTTTAGTCTCCCTTTTTTAGACTATATTTATAATATGTATAAGAAATTGTGAAAAATTCATGAATGAATGAATATTTAATATAACAGTAATAGTAATAATAATTCAAATCCTAAACACAAAACTACTGACACTTTTACGGAAACAATGCAACGATATATTCATTTGCGGAAACTCTTCGACAAATCAAACCGTTAAACACAAAGTTTCAAAATACTTATTATTTCGTAAACGTATCTCACATTCACTAAACGATTTGTGTGTTTCGTTTGACACAAAATTATATATTCAATTGTCTACTCCTCTCAATACATGTCGTGAAATGTGTTGCCAAACATTTCACACATACAAACAACTCAGGAAAAACTGCCGCTATTTATATAATAACTGTCCGAAAAAGCAAAGATTTAAACTTTTTTTAAGTTTTAAACTTTTCCACATTCACTGCCAATTATTTTTTAGATTCACCGATAGATTGTCTATTGAATAGACTTATTGAATCCGTCGATATAACTCTTATAACTCTATGTAAGACTGCTATACATTACATTGACTGTTAGATAAGATTGATGTATTATTATTGTGATATATAAAAAGGTCACTTACTCTGCGACCACGCCATAGGAATTGGTGACAGTCCTGTTGACGGTCTCGAAATGACAGGTCAATTGTACCATTCGGTCGCCCTTTCT